AGCTTATGAATGCAATGACCAATCAGAGGCGTTCAGATGAGTCATCGATAAAATGCCGGTGTTTTCTTCACTGGCTGGCTGACTGAATACCGCTTTCTGGCGAATTCTTTCGTTAGAAACAACAAACTGCAGATGTGTATGAATCTGTAAATAAGATATTTCACAGTGTAAACCGCTTCAGTGATTTTAATGGGAGTTTTTGAGAGTGCTTGAACTAGACTGTCAGTGAAAATGTTCTTTGATAATGTAGAAATGTTCTTTGCTCTCTTTCTGTACAATGAAAGTGTTATGATTAGTAGCTTAACTTACAATGTTTTTATTCACATTAACTTTCAATGTTAAATTCACATTAAATATAAAGTCAGTCGTATTAAAAATATGTTATGGCATGACACCCATATCTGTTACTTAAGTAAACAGACAGGTTTTTAATATGTATAATTAATAGACTACATTATTGGGCTACGTTGACCATCGCACACTATAGATCAACTAACATAATCTATAAAGGTGAGAATCGAGATATTTCATGATATAGTTAATGCATTTGGGATTGTTTTGAATAAAAAGGAAAAATAAAAAATAAAACGGGAGTGCTTTTGTGGCTGCTGTGTGTCATGTGACGACCCCCCCACCCCCCACTCGTGCCCCCTCAAAAATAATGAGTGCAATAATGACTGACATTCATATTAATGTTTACACCAGGCTTATTTAAACATAATTATTACATGCTTACAAGGTTGGAAGTTCAACAAATCAGTCAATATACTGTGATTGTAGTTGTTAAATAAAAATGTCATTCATATCAATTCATGCATCACCTAATTTCATCGTAACATATAGGCCTGGCCTACAGAAAAGAACATTTATGTTTAATCTATCTAGTAGTGTGTTGGTCATACTATACAATGATTTATAGCTTGTCTTTGTTGAATAATACAGAACATAAAGAACTTAAAAAAAAAAAAATTGCATATTAAATCGCAATCGCAATATTGGTGAAAAAAATCGCAATTAGATTATTTTCCAAAATCGTTCAGCCCTACTATCTATCTATCTATCTGTCTGTCTGTCTATCTGTCTGTCTGTCCGTCCGTCCGTCCGTTGTCGTTCGTCAATGTCAGTTTGATGTTCTGTCGTTCATTGTTTCTATTTATTGTTCTGTCTGTCTCTCTCTATCCATCCATCCATTGTTCTATGGCTCCAGCTGTCTGTCTGTAATCCGTCTCTCTCTCTCTCTCTCTCTGTCTGTGGGTCAGGAGTATCCGGTGTTGTTCCTCTGCTCCAGTATGGCTCAGCCGAGCTCGTGTGCTCAGAGCAGTAACGGTGTGGCCGACGAGTCTCCAAACATGCTGGTCTACAGGAAAGTAAGTGGATCCATCACCTCCTAAAACACCTGCAGACACGAACGGTCCTGCTCACTCCGCATTAGATCGCTCCGATAACTCCATATCGATGTGCGCTGATTTAATTTCCGAAGCTGTCGGTCTAACAAATGTTTTCAACTGTTAATCATTTTGAAACACTTAAAGCAGGCAGCGTTAACCTTACAGTAGCACTTAACACTGATTACTGTCAGATTTTAAAGATCCTTCATCACTTAAATTAAGATTAGAAACATTTTATTTTAAAGCACAGACACCACAAAATCAGACTTTAGCACCTCTTATTCGCTCTGAGGTTAAATACAGATTTAAAACCATAACAAGATATAGTTTAATAGCTATGATACTGATTTTGAATTCAAATCTTTGCGTAGTTATGACCGGAAACACTGGCATCTAACAATGGCTTGGAAAAAACAGTTAATCTTAACAAAATAAAGCATATACATAAACCCAAATAGGAAATAAAGCAGTTATGGAATAAGCATGTGTCCTAAACTCCTGAAACATTGGTGTCTCATATTTTAGAGCAGTCAATGCAATTTATGTAAGAAATCAATCAAATCTGTATGTGTGTGATAATATTCAGATGTAACGCCTTTTGTAACGTTAACATTTTCATAAGTAACTGTAATTTTATTACACGTTTTTTTCCTCAGTAACTGCAACAAATTACAGTTACAGGTAACACTTTATTTCAAGGTGTCCTTTTTGATTAACTCAATCAAAATCAATAATTTTCAACTTCAAAAAAATCAGTAACACTCAACTTAAAATCAATAATTGATTGATTACCTGATTTAGTGTTCCTGATCAAAAATGACTGGCTTTTAAAAAATTGCTTGCAAATCTCTCATAATGCATAATGTATTACCAGATCTTGGATTCAGTCTTTTTACAGGTTTTGTGTTTCTTTTTGGAGCTGATTGATCGTAGGCCTCATCAATCTGAGCTTATGCACCAGTTTTGGTGTGAATTTTGTGAATAATTTTGGCAATATTCACTTAAAAAGTGAGGTGGATGAGCTCAGATCAAGGAGGCCTACAGTCAGTGAGCGCCATAAAGCAATACAAAAGCTGTGCTAACTGAAAGAAAATAAGTTAATAAGATAAAAAGATTGAATTCAAGATTCTGTAATAATATAGCATAATGACAGACGTTTTGTAAGCCGATCATTTCTGAAACCACAAGTGTAACAATGTAGGGAAAAAAATCCCCAAAAAAGTGCAAAAATAATCTTTTGATTATGTGTGTGAGTGTGAGTGAAGACAGTAAGTTTTAGTCCAATTTGATAACATTAATAATAATAACCTTTATTTTATAGCTATAGACTTTATTGTAGCTTCTCAAAGCACTTTACACAGTGAAATAGAAGAATAAAAATACAAAGCAATCAAAGCAAAAATGGTTAAAAAAATCAAATAAAAGGTAACCTAAACAAACTTAAACACAAACTGTAACACTTTACAATAAAGTCTCATTACTTAATGCATTAAATAACATAAACTAACAATGAGCAATTATGGTTCAGTATTTATTTATTTTTTTTTATGTTAGTTTATGTTAGCTCTGGTCTGTTAAATAATACTAACAAATGCAACTTTTGAATAAGATTAATAAATGCTTTAGAAGTATTTTTCATTGTTAGTTCATGTTGATTAATGTAGTTAACAAATGGAACCATATTGTAAAGTGTTACCGCAAAAGCAAATAAAAAATCTTGCAATATTGTGTCTGAAACATCAGTAACTTGATATTAGTCAACATTAAATAAATTTGTTGCGGTGAACATTCCTGATATTATTGTATTACAAGCATTATTCTGTACATTACTTCAAGTTCAAAGAAATGGTTATTTTCATAATCTTTCATCAAAACTTCTTCTGTCCTCTTTCTGTTTCCCTGCATTACCTGGCATATAAAGGCCACTTTTACAAGTCAATTTCCAAAGTCTCACTCTACTTTTTGTATTGTTAAATATCATTTTTCACTCAGAAATATTTCTATTACAGAAGCAGATCATGCAAATTTGAAAATTATGGAAATAAATTGGGTTGTGAATAGCGTTTCATGTTGACTTGAACTTCTTGTTTACAGACCTATTATATAAAGGCATCATCACACTCGCAGTCGTTGATGAATTCAGGTTGATATTTGGGCTTTTGTGAAGTGTGCTAATGGCTCATCATTGTGTGGGCGAGCGCCTCGTCTGCGTTGCCATGTTTGTAGGTGGTTTTGTAAGGACGTTGGTGTGTGTATTTCTGGTTTGCTTTGCCATGCAGAAAAGTGAAACTTTGAGCATCATCAGGCTAGCGCTGGTTCTGATCTCATTTCCACTGCAGGCATGACAGTGCTATGGTCCTTATGCACAAACAATACAACAGTGGCACAACAAATGTATTTGCACACTTAAAATTGTCTGAATGTCCATGCATGAGAAAAAAAGATCAAAATCAAGTCGTTTATTGTAAAGAAAGATGCACAGAAACACTGTTGGGTTTGTTGGGTTTTAGATGCTGAATCAATAGATGTTGAAGATGAAGACAGTGTGTGTGTTTGTGGTTAGTTCGTGAGTCATGTTGATAGTTCATGTGATTCTGTGTGAACTTGAGCAGAACTGACTTCATACATCCATTAAAAATGACCAAAATTAACTTAGAATTTAAATGGTTCTGAGAAAATTGTGAGACACAAACTTGCAGTTCTGAGGAAAATAGTCAAAATTGTGAGATGTAAATTTAGAATTATGAGTTTATAACTTGCAATAGCGAGATATAAACTCACAGTTCGGAGAACAAATGTCAGAATCGCGAGACGTAAAATCTGAATTGCAAAACTTAGTCAGAATCATGAGACGCAAAGTCAGAATCATGAGATGTAAAGGCAGAATTCAGAAATGTAAGGTCAGAAACACAAGATGCCAAATCTGAATTGTGAGATGCAAAATCAGAAACGCGAGACGCAAAGTCAGAAGAATCGCGAGACGTTAAGTCAGAATTGCGAGGCGTAAACTTAGAATTGCGAGACGTAAACTTAGAATTGTGAGGCGTATATTTAGAGTTGTGAGGTGTAAACTTAGAATTGAGAGGCGTGAAGTCAGAATTGCGAGACGCAAAATCTGAATTGCGAGACGCAGTCAGAAACGCGAGACGCAAAGTCAGAAATGCGAGATGCAAAGTCAGAAGAATCGCAAAATGCAAAGTCAGAAACGCGAGACGCAAAATCTGAGTTGCGAGACGCAGTCAGAAACGCGAGACGCAAAGTCAGAAATGCGAGATGCAAAGTCAGAAGAATCGCAAAATGCAAAGTCAGAAACGCGAGACGCAAAATCTGAATCGCGAGATGCAAAGTCAGAAACGCGAGACGCAAAAATCTGAATCGCGAGAGGCAAAATCTGAATCGCGAGACGCAAAGTCAGAATCACGAGATGCAAAGTCAGAAGAATCGCGAGACGTTAAGTCAGAGTTGTGAGGCATAAACTTAGAATTGCGAGGCGTAATCTTAGAATTGCGAGACGTAAACTTAGAATTGTGAGACTTAAACTTAGAATTGCGAGGTGTAATCTTAGAATTGTGAGACGTAAACTTAGAATTGCGAGACTTAAACTTAGAATTGCGAGGCGTAAACTTAGAATTGCGAGACGCAAATTTAGAATTGCGAGACGCAAATTTAGAATTGCGAGACGTAAACTTAGAATTGTGAGACGTAAACTTAGAATTGCGAGGCGTAAACTTAGAATTGTGAGACGTAAACTTAGAATTGCGAGACGCAAATTTAGAATTGTGAGACGTAAACTTAGAATTGCGAGGCGTAAACTTAGAATTGCGAGACGTAAATTTAGAATTGTGAGACGTAAACTTAGAATTGCGAGGCGTGAACTTAGAATTGCGAGGTGTATTGCGAGAATGTAAAGTCAGAATTGCGATACATGAAGTCAAAATTGCCAGATGTGAAGTCAGAATTCCGAGATATAAACTCACTATTCTGGAAAAAAAAGCTTCAGTTTTCAGTTGTAAGTGCTGTTGACAAAAAGTTAAACTGTACTTCTTTACCTGCACCTGAGTGCATTATTTTCATATTTGTATGACTGTATGTCGTTGGTCAAAGAGTGTAGTTGCTGTGAGTGAGAGCTGATTGAGTTTGTGTTTATGATGCATGTGCACACACATTGATGAATACGTCCATCCAGAACAGTGAGTGAAAGCTGCACATCATCTCTATTCTCATCCAGTCATGTTTATTTACTGCACAGCAACAGTTTCACAAAATCACTCTTATATAACGATATCTGTCATTTATGAGGCGTTACTAGTAACCAGCTGTTAAATAGTCCTTTTACAGCGATTTGGTGCAAACTTCTCATGACTGTTTTTATTTTCTTTAGACACATGAATTCTGTCTGATATATGCCTGATCTACATGGAAATATGCAGATTTCGCATCTAGATTTCCCCAGAGAAAATTAATCAGAAAAACATGCATTTTTTATGGACCATCTTCATCTAATATGACTCAAGTCATTATTCAAACTCAACTACACATTCATACTCAAGTCAATAATGTTGGTTTATCCATTGTGTACCTGGTGCTAATTGCGAATCACTAGTTGTTTTGGCAGACTTCGAGTCAGTTATAAACAGAATAAAGACTGCATCATGTAAATATGTGGGTTTCTAGTCGATTAGTGAGGTTGGATGGCTTATGTAGATTTTTTCCTTTTCCAAGCTTGAATATTTTATGTTTTAAAGGGTATAAATTTAGAGACTGAGCTTCACAGAGAGGGTTTTAGCAGTTTCCACATGCTGACCGTCTGATGTTAAGCCTTCCCGAGATATTCGTCCTCTTAAGCACTTCTGGAACAGTTTCTTCTACATATTCATCACTTCAAGAATACATATGAAGACTGACTCCTGATCAGCTGAACTAATTAACTTCAAGCAATAACCTACAATAACTTGCATCGCCTTGACTGCAGTTAAATA